TTACAATTACATGGCCTGGGTGCGTGTCGTTGTAATCTCATTATGTATTATGTTATTATGTATTATGTTGTGTTCTGGTTGCAGTAGGGTCCAGTTTTGTGATTTTTGGGACCGGTTGTAGTAGGGTCCGCTTTTCAGTTGTAGTAGGGACCATCTGGTTGCAGTACGGACCATCTGGTTGTAGTAGGGACTATTTTCGGGGGGCCGGGGGGGGGCGAGGGCGCATAATTCTAAGTGGATTCTGTGATTCTGTTAATTCTCGACCGTAAAGTCCTTTAGGGCGAACGGTACGCTTGCTGCATTTTGCTGCGAATCCAAGGTCAGCTGGATGAAGTGCGGCGCTCGAGGGCTTGCGGTAGACTTATTTAGCCATACGCTGAACTCCCAGTATCCCCTATAATACTCCCCTATATAATCCCCTACATATCCCCCTTTACGGAGTTGAGACTATTGGGTCAGGGCATCTCTGATCATAGTCTAAACTCGATAGAGGATTATGTAGGGGAGTATGATAGGGCTTATGAAGAGAGTTGCTAGGAGTTTAGACTATAGCTCACATGACATTTAAACATATCTGTGCCTGATGTCTCTGGGCCAACCAGCCTTATGGTAGCCTTTCCCTTGCTGCCAAGCGCCAAAAGCATGCAAAAGCAAAGATATCAAGCATCAAGTCCCCAGCATGCTGAGCCGACTTGGCATTTCAGCGTCGGAGCGTTACGCATGTTACGTGTTAAGGAGGCGGCGCTTGCGTTCACAGTGCATTGCAGGATATGCTTGCATCAACCATCCCACCTTCGCCTGTTGCGCGAGAAAGTCGAAGCTTCTGTATGCTATTGAACATATGGGAAGCGAGGCTGGAAGTTGCGCGCATTTGCAAAGATGGCGGACAGCTTTCAACCTGTACAGCTTTGATCGTTTTTCTGCACAAAAAATGACGTATGTGCCCTCAACAGGATCGTCAACAATTTCAAGTGTGCCTCTAAAGCCTGCACATTGGCAATGTTTATGTGAGTTGTGAAGCTTCTGACCATGTCAGCAGTGTGCTTAGGGTTTTCGCAGCATTCCATCATCCGGCAACTTTCAACAATTGCCGTGACCGCGGATGAATGGTGTCTTGAAACTTTGGACCGTCGGTGGAATGTACTCGTCGAAAAAAGCTTGAACATTTCTTTGCATCTCATGCCGGATCGTGGAAGACGTCATGCCTGCATCACGACCCGAGATCTGCAAAATAACTGCATCCCCCCAAACCTTGCGCACTTCTAGAGTCGGCGAGCTTCTGTGGCGACTTCTCCGCACGAATGCAGATGGCACTCAGGTGCAAGAAGCTTCGGCAGTCCCGCGGTGGCCGAGTCTAGTGGATGTTGTGCCTGGCACACCATTGGAATGCCTGCCTGCGTTTCGCCCTTATGTTGAATACTGTTGAATGCTGCCCGTTGTCTTTACAAACACGTCTAGCATGCAGACATACATCTTGATGTTTGTAAGAGAGGGTGCCTTCGAGGCTGGGCGAGGTGGATGAGCCGCCCAGGCCTTGTTGCCTGCCGGTTCTTGGTCCTGAGCTGCTTGATCCACAGATCACACAGATGCACGAGCCATGTTCACGCTTGGCCCTCATCTCGTAACAGAGTTGTCAGGATCAGGGGCTCAGGCGTTTGGCGTCGGTCAGGGCTAAAATTGGAGAACGTGGCCAAAGAACATGGGACCAGAAAAACACTTCAGCTTTTGCAGCCATACTCCTCGTCAGCTGAGATGTCTGACATCTGACACCTCATTTGCCCTCGAGTTCTTGACTTTTCTGAGTGCTGCAGGACCGACCAGCCCGATTTCAGCGGTTTGGATCTCACTGGCAGTCACCCTGGAAACTGCCGTCTTTGAATACTCCCTCTCAGGGCCGCCCCCGCCAAAATGCGTCACAGCATTTGCTGCACTGTTCAGGTGGGTTCGGATATTGCTTGCGTGACGCCCCTTGCGTCTTACTGCCTCCTCCTGCCTGCGCAGGCATGTTGTTCAAGAACTTCCGATGCAAAGCTCTGCCCGCCGCGGTGCCATTGGGCAGGTCAACAAGCGCAGCTTTCACATGTGAACCAGACATGTTCTGGGTTTCGTCGAGGTTGCCAAGCGACTTGCTGGGAAATTGGGATTGTCAGATCTCAATGTTTTCCTACGCGGGGCCCCCTGGCTGCACGGGAGTTGCTCAGGGCGTTAGCAAGACGCATGACACCAGGCTCGTGCCTGAAGTCATTCTCACAGCCCCACCAGGTACAGCTTGGGCTATTGGACAAGAGTGGGTCCTCTGCTGAGCTTCGTCTCTTATGCGCCTTGACACCGGACATGAGTACCGCACGCGGCGATGCCATGGTTGACTAGGTTGCCCCGAAGCAAGAGCGCGGCCAAGCCCTCACCAAAGGTTCCTCCTCAAGACAAAAAAGTCCATCCAGTCCAGGTGGTCTCCGAACGCTCTTGGCGCAAGCGCCAGCAGAAAGCGGAAGGCCAACTCCATGAGTGATTTGCGGAGAAACTCAAGCGATTTGTCGTGGTAGTCGAGACCAGGTCGTTGACCACGTTTTAAAACTGGCGAAAGGCACAGCAGTGGTTTGAGTTGAATGACCAATCAAAACTCCAGGTGCTGTTCTGGCTGCTCAGCGCAGGGTCCTTGGAAAGACTTACCAAGCAAGGTCCATCCAAGCCATGTATCTGAGGCTTGGAAGATGCTGCTCCGCCTCA